GATCAACCAGCAGATCATAGGGGCCTCGGAGCTCGGCTTGCAGCAGCTCCTGAGCACCACCGCGGCCCATCTGAAGCAGATGAACCTGGCGACCACCCCGCCGGCCCGCCAGGAGTAGCAGGGGGAGGAGGACAGGGACTCTGGGCGCACGCCTGCGCGACCCGCTTGGCTTCCGCCCACGGCAAAAGTATCAACGGCGCTGGCGACTTGTGCGCCCCAGAAGCAGCGTTTGCATGTTCTGCGTGTGTCGCCGCAGGAGTCTAGTCATGGTGTGCTACACCGGGGGGAGGGGCCGGCTGGGGCATTGGTACGGAGGTATTGCGCCAGTCATGTTTTTTTGTATCCCCCTCCACACCCCACACCGCACCCCACACCGGAGGCATCGGGGGGGTCGTATCGGGGGGGGGGTTATCGGGGGGGGAATTTCTGTGGACCCCCTCCACGGCCCGGGCTCAGTGTTAGTGTTCAGGCATCCGCAGCCGACGGCGAAAAGCACGGAATCGCGCGCCACGGTTGCAAGAGCATTCGGGCCCCCAGTAGAATCTCCGCTTCTGAACATGACCCAAATTGAGTTCGGGCGTTGGCCCCTTCGGCAAGCTCGAGTGCCAGTAAGACGATCTTCCTTCTGAAGGTTTTGGGCGGCATCCCGCACGACTGATATGCCCCAGGAGTATTTGCGATTAGTCAAGAGTGGCATACATCATAATTCAGTGTATGACCACCAACGCGACTCAATGCGGGGTTCTGCTTATTTGCAAGTTGAATGTCCGTTTTCGAGCTGTGCTATGGTCGGAGGTTGGGGGGTGAGTCCGACGTGAAACGGAGCCCCCCCTAGCGGGAAATCGGTTTCGGTTTCGGGTTCGTGTAGTGCGTGCCGTGCGTGCGTGCGGGCGAGGCGAAGCGTCGTGGGCGGAGGAGAGGAAATCCTTCTGTGGCTGGGCCGCGGCCGGACCAAATGTTTCTCCTCCGGCGGCCGGTGGCCCGCGGTGTCCCGCTGGTGTCCCGAAATCGTCCTGTGAATGGGCCGCGGCCGGACCAAATGTTTCTCCTCCGGCGGCCGGTGGCCCGCGGTGTCCCGCCAGTGTCCCGCTGGTGTCCCGAAATCATCCTGTGGCTGGGCCGCGGCCGGACCACATGATTCTCCTCCCGCGGCCGGTGGCGCGATAGTGAGATCGATACTGAGATCGATACTGAGATCGAAACTGAGATCGATGTGTTGCCCCGAGGTGTCCCGTGGTGTCCCATGGTGTCCCCAAAAATGAGATCGATAGTGAGATCGATGTGGTGCCCCGTGGTGTCGTATGATGTCCCGTTGAGTGAGATCGATAGTGAGATCGATAGTGAGATCGATGTGGTGTCCCGAGGTGTCCCGTTGAGTGAGATCGATAGTGAGATCGATTGTGGGATCGATAGTGAGATCGATGTGGTGTCCCGAGGTGTCCCGTGGTGTCCCGTTGAGTGAGATCGATAGTGAGATCGATAGTGAGACCGATACTGAGATTGAGAGGTGTCCCGCGGTGTCCCGTTGAGTGAGATCAATAGTGAGATCGTCAAGTGTCCCGTGGTGTCCCGTGGTGTCCCAAAAAGTGAGACCGATAGTGAGATCGATACTGAGATCGATAGTGAGATCGATGTGGTGCCCCGAGGTGTCCCATGGTGTCCCAAAAAGTGAGATCGATAGTGAGATCGACAAGTGTCCCTGTGGTGTCCCGTTGAGTGAGATCGATAGTGAGATCGCTGGTGGGATCGATAGTGAGGTCGATGTGGTGTCCCGAGGTGTCCCGTGGTGTCCCGTTGAGTGAGATCGATAGTGAGATCGATAGTGAGACCGATACTGAGATCGAGAGGTGTCCCGTGGTGTCCCGTGGTGTCCCGTGGTGTCCCACGGTGTCCCGTGGTGTCCCGTTGAGTGAGATCGATAGCGAGATCGATAATGAGTTTGTCAAGTGTCCCGTGGTGTCCTGTGGTGTCCCGTGGTTTCCCGTTGAATGAGATCGATAGTGAGATCGATTGAGTCAGATGTTGGTTCCCCCCCTCTCCCCCCCACCCAACCTCCTTATCACCCGAAGGGTGGTCGTATAGGTGTATGCTGCGCCATGCAACGTCATGCAATGCTGGGATAGGTTTCGGCATGGCCCCGTACTCGGCATGGCTAAGCTATGTCATGGCGTTCGGCATGCTGTGTAGCACTTCGACCGCGCGGCCGTGCGACGTGCTACTCTACCTGCGCTTGATTGGAAGAAGAGGGAGCGCTGGGCCACGCTGTCTGGGAAACCTTGCGCTCGCAGGGGCTGTCAGCGCCAGCACAGGTTTCGCAACGCTATGCTCTGCACAATCGCTGGCGCTGACCGTCCCGATTGGGAAATCACCACAGGCTGTGTGGAAAGCTCTGCGCACAGGTCGCGCAATGTCGTTCTCTATGGCCGAAGACTAACTCAGTTTTCGCCACCGTCACCCTGCGATGTATTCATGTGGGCCCGCTGCTTGGTTTCAGGCATCT